TGGCTGAACTGTTACCATGATTAAACCCCACTGACCCCCACTCTATGTGCACCTGTGCCACAGAAAGTGAATAAGGTAGATACACCTGCTCTCACCTTCAATTCTGAACACAACCTCCCGTGGCCCTCTTCTACAAACACCCTGCAGCCATGCATGCTCCCATACTGCATCACTCTCCCACTCACTCCCTGCACAGCTACGTCTTACTACCTTCTGTCTCTCCTCCTCCCTGGCCCTCACACACAGCTTTCTTCTTTCACCAAGAAAACAGTGGCAATTAGAAGAGAACCTCCACAAGCCTCAGTCACATCCTACCCTCCTACCTATGTCTATGCCCACGTGTTCTGCCTTTTCTCTGACTACAGGTGAAAACCTATCCAAACACCTCGCAATAGGCAATCCCTCCCACTGCACAATAAATTCCAACGCTCTGTGTGTGCTGCAGAACACAAAACCAGCAATTCTCACTTCACCCCCAATTATGTTTTCCCTCTTTTCTGGATCTTTCTATCAACAAATAAATGTGCAGCTACTTCTCCCATCCTTAAAAATGTGTCTTAGCCCACTTTCCCCACAGTTCATTATGACTCTCCTTCCCTAATAAAACTCCTTAAAACAAAGAGTTACTTGTGCTTACTGTCTCAAATGTCTCTCCTCCCGTGTACTTTTTAAACCCAAGAAAGAATTTATCCCACCACTGAAGCAAAACTCCCAGTCAAGGTCACGAGTAACCTCACGTTGTCAAATTCAACTATCAGTTCTGGTTGTCATCAGCTGCGTGCGACCCTGAGCCTCCATCCTCCTGGAACCGTGAAGACGCCACGGCCTCCTTGTTCTCCCTTCTACCCTAAATGCTTGGACTCCTCCCCTGGTTCCTTCTCATCTCTTCACCTCCAGACACTGTCCAGGGCTCAGGACTTTTCTGGCTAAGAACTGCCTGGGTCGTCCCACGCCTTCTCAAGGCTTTGACACATCACCTCAGGGCTCGCGTTGCTCACATGTGTATCTCCACTGCAGGCCTGGATCCTGAACCCCGGGTGCCTTCATCCAATCGTCCACTTGGCACTTGGTGGTGGGTGTTGAGCCGGGTCTCTTCCATTTGCTACTCTAGAGTCACCCTCCAACCTCTGCCTCCCTGTTCTGCCCGAGGAGTGTGTGTCTACGGGGATGGCAGGAATAGGCTTCCCTTGCCTTGCGGCCTCCAATAGGCTAAGCTCATGGGAAGCCCTGGCAGAAGAATGGAGGAAAAAGGGAGTTAAAGACCAGAGTATTCACTCCCCTGTCTTTCTCCTGTGGAGTCATCGTCACTGGCTAGATCTCCTAACCAAAGGTGATGCATCCTCTCAAGGTAGACTGTTCTCCGTGAATCTCTCCTTCAGAGTTTCTGGCAACGAGGGGTGGTAACCTCTCGCTGTTACCTGCCCCCCCACACACTGTACTATCCCTGTGCTTTCCCTATGTCCTACCCACACCTTTGTAAATGATTCCTTTGTTAAAACTTTCCTTCCAATTATACTGAGTGTGCCATCTATTTCGTAACTCTGACAAATACAGATGTCTAGCTGGCATCTCACTTTTAACACATTAAAAACTGAGCACCTCCACCTGGCTGGTGTGGCTCAGCAGCTTGAGCACCGGCCTGTGAACCAAAGGGTCACTGGTTCAATTCCCAGTCAGGGCACATGCCTGGGTTACAGGCCAGGTCCCTGGTGAGGGATGTGCAAGAGGTAACACATTGATGCTTCTCTCCCTTTCCTTCTCTCTCTCTTCCCCTCTCTAAAAACAAGTAAATAAAAAAAATCCTTTTTAAAAAACCTGAGCACTTCCAATAGTTTTATCCATCTCAAATAATGGCAACCCCCTTCTTCTAGCTGTTTAGGCCAGAAAGCTGGTGTCACACCCATACCTGGTTTTATGTTACTTCCCATGTTTACAAGACCTATACACGCAATTCCCTCGAACAGACCCAGAGCCCAACCATCTCTCACCACCTCTGCTGCCACCAACCTGGCCACAAACACCAGCAACACTTGTCTGGGTTGTTGCAATAGCCCAGCTGGTCTACCTGCTCCCCCCTGGCCTATCTTCAGGTTACTCCAGCACAGTGGCCAGAGGGATCCTGTTAAGATATGAATTAGCTACATTACTCTTCTCTTAAAACCCTCCAGTGGCTGCTCATCTCAGAGACTCAAAGCCTTTGAACTTGCTATTCCTTTGCCGGCAACACTCTTCCCACAGATCCTCATTGCCCACTCCCTCCCCTTCCTCAAGCCTTTATAAAAATGTCATCTTCTCAGTAAGACCTTCGCCAACCACCCTTTCTAAATTGTAACAGCTTCTCCCCATTTTATTTGTACCCTGAGCAATCATCATCATTTAAGATCTTACATACTTTTCTTTATTGTGTCCTCCAACCTCTAGAATGTTAACTCAGTGTCACAGGTGTTTCGGTTTTTGTCTATTCTGTGTATTGTCATATCCTCAGCTTCTAAAACAGGACCTGGAAAGAGTGGGCGCTCAAATAACTGTCAAACAAACCACAACTCGACACCATTCAATCAACTGGCTACAATTAAAAAGGCTGTGAGTGCTACACATTGGCAGACACCTCCAATCACAGCTCTTCACTTTGGGGAGCAATCTGGAAATATCTACAAAGTCTGCGATGTGCACATCTAACAGACTAGCAACATTTTTTCCTGGTTTGTGTGCTTATTTATACAAACAAGGGCAGTATACTAAAAATGAGAATCATTCCAAGAAGTATGGTCAGCCTGTCTAGAGCATATTCTTAATATTTTATGACCACAGAATGAATCTCCACCACTGACAAGTAAACCAGTAATATAGCTCCACCCCAACACAAGTGAAGAAACCACAGCCACTCTTTCTCAGGCTTACACTGTGTGCAAGGAAAATAGTAAATCAGTAGCAGAGCCGGGAAGAAATATATCAAAAGATGTGACCGTTGTAATGCACCAAGAAACCAATCACAGATAAACAAGCCACTTAAGAAATCAGTAAGCAAAGAGACTACCAAAAAAAAAAATACCTTTGAGACCCAAATCACACCATTTTAAGTTATAAATAAATGCTAAAATAAATAATCAAAATCATAAGCTAATGTGCATAACTGCTGGCTTAGACTAGAATTCTGAGAATCACTTTCAAATGCGTATGCAGCATCTTTATTTTCAATTACAGTTGACACTAAAAAATATGGAAGGCTTCAGGAATTTGCATGTCATCCTTGCGCAGGAGCCAAGCCAATCTTCTCTCCTTCTCTGTACGGTTCCAATTTCAGCATGTGTGCTGCCGAAGCGAGCACTAGGCAGTATCTTTTATTGCCAGATACTGCCGTTGTAGCTGACTACACAACTGATTCAATTAAGTCCACATGATAATTTTATTGCACTACTTCAGTCTTCCCCATAAATCTTTTAGCAGAACTGATAAAAACTGAAGCAAACCAGCACACATTTTACATTTCTCCAACCTTGAATAAAAGTGCTTTTAAACCCCTAATTGGCCAAAATGCAGGTAACGAGAGAAAAATACTCATCTGACTGGCAAAAAGATGAGTCACCTGTCCCTGAATGGTCAGTGAGTTGGATGCCATCAGCAAATCTCTACCTAAGGTGGTCGCACTGCATGCCCCACAAGAATGAAGACAGCACACAGAATCTGCTCTTCTGACTCACACTCTCATACTCACTCCACTTCCCTCTTTCTTTCCAACTATTCGACCAAGAGAGAATTCATCACTGTTGAGTCTTAGTCTGGTTCAGGCACTCAAAAATATTGGCAGATAGGAAAAACGGTAAAACTCAAAAGCAACATCAAAGGTGTGGGAAGAGAGAATTCGAAACTGAAAATATTATTTTCATTTTATTTCACTGCTTCTCACATATCTTAATCCTTTACATTTTTTTAACTTGACAATTTTTTTTTATTGAGGTTATTGTAGATCCACATGCAGTTATGAGAAAGAACACAGAGAACTCTCATATGCCTGAAGCATGGTCCCTCAAAGGTAACATTTTGTAAAACTGGAGTACACTGCCACAACCAGGATATGGACATCCTGACACTGGCAGCATTCACCAATCCTACTCAGACTTCCCCAGGGTTATTTGCAATCACTTCTGTGTGTGTATTTAAGTTCTACACAATTGTATCACTTGTCTGGGTTTGTGTCCCCACCACCACAATCAAGATAATGGTCAGTACCAGGACCACAAGCATCCATATTGGTGCCCTTTTATAACCACATTCACCTCCCACCCGCCCATCCCTAACCCCTGAAAACCACTAATCTGTTCTCCATTCATCCTTCAAATTCTTATGTCTCACCCAATAGAAAGTAGCCATCTGTACAACCAGCCCTGTCCCATTATTTCCTGTAACTAACTACTCTTCAATTTCACATTGCTGCACACCACTCAAGGTGAAGTCAATCTTAAAAACACAGCTATTTGTGGAAGGAATGAGTTTTTCACCCTCTTGAAAGAGAAGGCCATCCAAAGCAAAAAAGAAAACTTTTGGTATTCAGGTGCATATGTCTCTGTGTGTATATCCACTAATATGTACATTCCTGGCTACAAAATAAGGAAAAAAAGAACATATATTCTAAAAAATCTATAAAGCTTTTCATAAACCTAAGCACCAATCCCTCTGAAATCAAAGAAAACAGTGCTGTTTCTCAGACTGCCCACTTGAGAAGGGCCTAGTTCAGCATTTGATTTTTCATTTCTATGAAGACTTTTATCCATTTCAACCATGGCTTACGGCATTTACATCAGTACACGGAAACCCTGACTTCCACTTCAAGAAATGCCATTTTTCCTTGCAAAGCACTAGACACACTGTCCTTTACTTGGATTTAAAATCCAAAGGACAAACGATGAATTGCTAGTTACTAAGATGCAGTTGAAAAGGAACATAAATGTCTACGCAGCTTGCACAGCACGAAGCAGTATGCGAGCCGCTGGAACGCATACCTGCAGAGCTGAGAAGAACACTGAAATCTGTCCCCCTCTGTGATTCTCCGCTTTCATTATCGCCCTCCTTTTCGGTGTCTTGATATCGATCCCAGTTAGAGACGATCTTTCTTTTAGAATAATTTCCCTGTTCATCATTCTCTTCTCCATGGGTCTCTGCATCACTGTCATCTTCGACCTGCAATCATTAGAGACAAATCAATAATCAGTGTAAATCTTGACCTAACTAGTCTCAGCAGTAAAATAAAACCAAAAAATATATAGTACACAGGTATCACATTAGAAGCACGTTTGTAGACCAAGCTCTTGAGGATATTATATAATATTTCAAGATAACCCCATTCCATCAGACTATACACTTTCAGGGTAAATTTTCACTTAGCTTTGAGAAGACAATCTGGGGAGTTCCTACCTAAAAAATTTGTGTCACTGGTATCTGAAACTCTACCCCAGAGCATCCTATTTCAATAGTTGTTTCCTCCTACCGAAATAATCAAAGCTGTAAGAGTCTTAAACTCAGAGGACTTTAGGATAGAAATCAATTCTTTCAATTTACAGATTTTACAAATACTCTATAAATGTTATATTGTAAGCTTTAAATGGGAACCCTGCTCAGATGCATTCTAGAAAAGTTTCCTGTCTTAGGCATTAAAAGGTTGACGGCACATGCAGGAAAATGCAGAATATGAGAAATTACAAAAAATAAAAGGCCTAGTTTTGTCAACAAATAAACTGCGAGAAGAAATATGGTGGGGGAGGAGCAAGAAACCTGTAGATTAAAAGGGCTTAATGAACAAAAGCAGGTGTGATGTCGGAAACTTCTTTGCACTCTGATTCATAAGTGATTAGAGAAAATCACTTATGAGATGATTGGAAGAAGGTGAGCAATGACTACATATTTGATTATATTAAAGATATTATTTTAGACTTCCAGCCAAGATGGAAGCATAGGTAGATACACTTTGCCTCCTCGCACAACCAACAGAAGGACAACAACAAAATTAAAAAAAAAAACACACACAACCAGAACTGCCAGAAAATTTAACTATATGGAAGTCCGACAACCAAGGTGTTAAGAAGAAACATTCATCCAAAACGGGAGGAGAGGCAGAGACGGGCAACCAAGGCAGAGAGGACTCACAGCATGGCAGTGGCTGGAGGACCTGGGCGGGCAAGGCAGCAGCTTGCGCACTGGGAAAGGTGGAGGCTGACAGAGCAGGAGGTCCCACATTTGCGTGCAAATAACCAGGAAAAACAATTGGGGAGCAAGACAGACCATGCAACCCAGCTCTCCAGCGGAGGGAAATAAAGCCTCAAAACACTGAAAACACCTGTGGGGGCTGAGGCAGTGGAAGAAACTCCCAGCCTTACAGGAGAGTTCCCTGGAGAGACCCACAGGGTCCTAGAATATATACACACATACACACACACACACACACACACACACACACCAGCACCAAAGGGCCCAATTTGCTTGTGGGTAGCGGAGGAAGTGACTGAAAGCCAGCCAAGAGCCCAGCAAGCAGCATTGTTCCCTTTTGGACCCCTCCCCCACATACAGTGTCACAACACAGCCATGAGGGTTGCCCTGCCCTGGTGAACACCTAAGGTTCCACCCATTACTATGTAACAGACCCTTGGAGACAAAAAAAAAAAAAAAAGACTCAAATGAAAGAACAGATAAAAGCTCCAGAAAAAATGCAATTAAGTGATGAAGAGATAGCCAACCTATCAGATGCACAGTTCAAAACACTGGTAATCAGGATGCTCAAAGAAACAATTGAGTATGGTGGCAAAATACAGGAAAAAGTGAAGACTATGCAAAGTGAAATAAAGGAAAATGTACAGGAACCAACAGGGAAGGGAAGGAAACCGGGACTCAAATCAACAGTTCGGACCAGAAGAAAGAAACATTCAACTAGAACAGAATGAAGAAACAATTCAGAAACACGAGGAGAGGCTTAGGAACCTCTGGGACAACTTTAAAACGTTCCGACATCCAAATCATAGGGGTGCCAGAAGGAGAAGAGAAAGAGCAACAAATTGAAAACTTATTTGAACAAATAATAAAGGAGAACTTCCCTAATCTGGTAAAGGAAATAGAATTCCAGGAAGCCCAGATAGTCCCAAAGAAATTGGACCCAAGGAGGCACATACCAAGGCACATCATCATTACATTACCCAAGATTAAAAATAAGGAAAGTATCTTAAAAGCAGCAAGAGAAAAGGAGACAGTTACCTACAAAGGAATTCCCATAAGACTACCAGCTGATTTCTCAAAAGAGACCTTATAGGCAAGAAAGGGCTGGAAAGAAGTATTCAAAGTTGTGAAAGGCAAGGACCTACATCCCAAATTGCTCTATCCAGCAAAGTTATCATTTAGAATAGAAGGGCAGATAAAGTGCTTCCCAGATAAGGTCAAGTTAAAGGAGTTCATCATCACCAAGCCCTTATTATATGAAATGTTAAAGAGACTTATCTAAGAAAAAGAAGATCAAAAACTATGAACAGTAAAATGATAACAAACTCACAACTATCAACAACTGAACCTCAAAAAAAAAAAAAAACCAAACTAAGCAAACCACTAAAACAGGAACAGAATCACAGAAATGGAGATCTCATGGAGGGTTATCAGCGGGGAGGGGAGAAAAGATGCAGGGAATAAGAAGCATAATTGGTAGTACAGAATAGATAAGGGGATGTTAAGAACAGTATAGGAAATGGAGAAGCCAAAGAACTTATATGTATGACCCATGAACATGAACGAAGGGGGGCGATGCGGGTGGGGTGGGGTGCAGGGTGGAAGGCAATAAGGGGAGGAAACACGGGACAACTAATAGCATAATCGATAAAATATTTTTTTAAAAGATCACTCTGAGCCCTCAAATATCATCATAAACCTTCCTGGCAGCATAAAAAAAAAGGCAATCTATAATCTAGGCCATTACAAAGATTGCCTGAACCCTGAAGGTTTCCTGCTATAACCAAAGTTTCTCAGAAAGAAAAGATGCTAGCAGCTGAAAGGCATGTGACTGAACAAGATCTGCTATTTAAATAACAAGTACCAGGAACATTCTAAAGAAAACAGCTTTGCAATTCATGAGATACGGGGGTTAGAATGAGAGCTGAAAATACTAGAAAGGTTTAATCTGGAAAATCTACTATTCTTTTGTTGGCCCACTGGGTAATCAGAGTTAGAGAGACTTCCCTAGTTAGTACAAAACTTCTAACATAGCAATAACACGAGGCAAAAATGTAAACCTCAGTAAAGCAATGAGCTTGACATGAAAGAAGGCTTTGATCTGACACACCTGCAGAGCTGTTAACTGGAGACAAGCACAGACATGCGAGAGGAGACCTAAACAGAATTAATGGTCCTGCCATCATCACCATTTAACATTTACAGAGTTTATAATAGGCTGGGCTTCGCAGAGCTGAATGACTCACTAATCCCCAACGTAGAAATATCACTGAACAAGGGTCCCGTTATCTCCACCAACTGCAGAAATGAGGACAGCTGTCATCAGCATCCATCACAAGAGGGCAGTTAAGAAGTAATGAAGTTTAGAAGACACTTGATGTAACTTAGAGAAAGGTGTATCATAAAAACACCTAAATGTTTTATGCTTAGTTCATTTTGCAAAGAGCTGAGACAAAATAAAATATGCAATCTCAAGATGAAGAGAAAGAACGGATAAATAACAAAATACTGATGAAAGCTATGAATAAAAATGTGGGGGTGGGCAAAAGTAGGTTTACAGTTGTTTGTATGGAAAAATACATAATACAAGAATAAACTCTTTCACATACTCACAACTGTAAGCCTACCTTTGCCCATCCCTATATACACACAGCATTATATTAACATCATCATTCCAAAATTAGTCTGGTATATACTAAAAACTACAAGACACTGATGAAAGAAATTAAAGAAGACACAAAAGAAAAGATTCTGTGCTCATGTACTGGAAGAGTTAATATTGTTTAAATGTCCACATTACCCAAAGCAATGTACAGATTCAATGCAATCCCTACCAAAATTCCAAAAGCATTTTTCACAGAAATAGAACAAACCATCTACAAACAGAACAAATTTGTATGGCACCACAAAAGACCCCAAATAGCCAAAGCAATCTTAAGAAAAACATCAAACTATATTACAAAGCTCTAGTAATCAAAACAGTGATGATATTGTCATAAAAACAGACACATAAATCAATGGAACAGAATAAAGAGCCCAGAAATAAACACACACATATATTCATGTGTCAACTAATTTATGACAAAGGAACCAAGAGCAGTCTTTCAGATAGGCGTGTTCAGGGTGGTATGGCCGTAGACAAGAACAGTCTTTCTATGGTGCCAAGAAAACTGATAGCACACCGTATACAAAAATCAACTCAAATGAGTTAAAGACCTGAAACCACAAAACTCCTGGAAAACACATAGCTCATAAGCTCCTTGACATCAGTTTTGGCAACGATATTTTGGATTTGACACAAAAAGCAAAGGCAACAAAAGCAAAAATCAACAAGTGGGACTACATCAAACTATTCAATGAAAAGCTGCTGCACAACAAAGGAAACCAACAGAATGAAAAACGCACTGAATGGGAGAAAATATTTGCAAGTCATATTGTCACAGGTGTGCACAGGTGTGCACAGGTAACCAGGTTCTTAGTGATCGAGGACAAAGAATTGAACCGAACACACAAAGTTTATAGCATAAAGAAAGAGGGGAGGTTTATTAAGTGATAGTACACACCACAGGACACGGGAGTGAGCCAGCTCTGAGCAGAGGAAAAAAAAAGGGCATGTGGGCTGGGGGATTCTATTCTTATAGAGGCAGAAGCCCCCTGCTAGTCTTTGGCGGGCTTTTCCTGCACAGGTACAAGGAGTTGGATTTCAAAGCTACTGTGCATGCGTGGTTTCCCATGACTTTCTTGATTGGCTACTGGAGAAGGGAGTCCCACAATGTTATTTCATTATAATGATATTATAATGAATCAGGGGTAGCGCGCAGGCGCATTCTATGATTCAGAGTTGTCCCAGAAAACAGGAACAACCCGTCTTAGGGGGTCTTTGTCATGTATAGGTGTTTTCTACCCTCAGCCCTGCGGGGCCTCGGGAGCTTCCTTCCTGACTACCTCCTGCCTCAACTTCCCCCTGAGAGACATGG